CCAGTGAATTTAATACACCAATTGATTATGTCCACTTATTTCAGATCTTGTGCTTTTTTCAATCAAATAAGCTAGGATTAGGGTTGTCAATCAGTAGTTGACACCTCTGCAAATTTACATTCCCTCAACAAAATCACAACAAGATTATTATATTCATGACAAATAAAAACTTTTGGGATGTGAAATTTCAACACTAGTGACAACCAAAAAAGAAACAAGTTTACTTATGGGTTCATAACAATAAACTCATAGGATACTCATGGAAGATATACAGAAAATAGGATTTCGAAAGAAATATAAAGATAGATAGGAATTAGAAGAAAAGTTATTTATCTCCCATTTTGTTTGAAAAGAAATTGTTAGTTTTGCAAAACCTGCAACAAAGGAGAAAAGTTGACTGTCATATTTCCCAAATGATCACACTATCATTAACTACAAATATGTGAAAGGATGTCACAAAGAAAAATATCAAGCCCCATGCCCTCTTTCCTTTTCAGAAATTATCAATAATTCCTGTTTTTCTTCAAAATATGATATTAAAGAATAGAAAACAATTATTTAATTAGAATGAAATCCATCTAACCTAGAAACATTGATCTGGGTCTGCACCACATATGGACCACCGAGCAATCTTGTGTGGTTTGCCAGCATTTGTTAAAAATTCACCAGCACCAGGATGGATCCCCTGCTGCCATCACCATCCCTTCAGGCCTCACCACCAGCAGCAGCAGCTCAGAACTGCTTCCACTTTGCTAGCTGCCAAATTGTTGATAAGTGTCCCAGTTATTCTTTTGTAGCCCAAAATTATTTTTAATTTGTTATTGTGGTCCTTTTCCTTCTACAAGTTCTGCTAGCCTGATATATTATATAATGAATAGTAGTATTACTTGACTTTAGAGCTTTTTTCCAGTTACACTCCTTTGAAAGAATATAGCTATTTTGCACTAGATATACACTGAAATTTATTTTAAAAGAAATTGTGGCTTTGAAAAGGCTGACATAAAAATATGTCATCAAGCTAAGAGGTACAATTTCCTTTTTTGAAGCTTAACATTTATTAATATCAGCAACTATAATCCTTGTTTCCCACACACCATTCCAAGGCAAGTTCTATTCAGGTCTTTGAAACCTCCAAGTATGGGAGGGAGACTAGGACATGTATGGTCTCTCCCATCCACTTAAAATCCTATCCTCATGTCAACATGAGGAAGCTGTGATAGAAAGATGTGAGGATAGTTTTCATATGTTTGAAATGGAGCTGTAATATAAATGGAGCAGCAGTTAATAAATAAATATAGAACAATAATTGAAACATAAAGAAGCCAGCTCATGAACATCAGCCTGGTTGTTGCAAACATTTTAAAAGAACTTTGTCAGGGTGTACATGCATGGCAGTTTTTCAAAATATGGTTTTAGAACTTGTCTCCTCAGCTTCTTTTTCCAGACAGCCTCAAGGAGAATATGTGCTAAACAATAGGTTAAAAAAGAGGCAGAAAATAATTATTTCTTATATTTTTATATTTCCCAGGAAAGAAAGATCTCTACATATTCACAGTATAGAACAATAAACTTGTTAGAGTACAGTAAAACATGTACTGATTCAGAGGATTTTAAACATTAATATAGAACTGAAACCAGAAGTTTTACTCTTGGGACTGAGGGATAAATAGTTGGGGAAAAAGTCATAGAACTTCGTTTTTGTTGTTGATAACTGCAGTGAGATATTGTATGTGCAAAAATGGAAAGATCTGGCAATACCTACAACAGAAATGCTTGGTGAAGATGTTGCAGCAGATCTTGCTGAAATGGTCAAGTTGATAATACCTTTGTTTACCACTGACCATAAACTGCTTAAGAACTATTTGCATAAAACAGAAAAAAATGAACTTATGATCTATTGTTTTGACCATTAGATAGGATAGTTTATAGAAAGAAGAGAGTCACAATATAATTTTAGAGAAAGAATTACATTAAATCTACAATTGCATTAATAACTGCTGTAAAGAAAATCAGAATATATTTTTTCTTTGTATTCTTGTTTTCTTTTTGCACATCAGGTTTCTCTTTTCCCTCTTCCTTTTTTCCCTTCTTACTCTATTTTAGTTGGTATCAATATTTAGTCTTATTTTTAAAGCTTCCAATAAAATAATATTTTAAAAATATAGTAAAACATAGGAGAACGCCAAGAACCAAACTTGCAATTTAAAAAGAACCAAAGAACTAAAATCTATTGCAGAGGAAAGATTTAAAAAATATGCACAACTTTTAAAAGGGAAAGATTAAAAAACCATGGAAGAATTTAAAAGGAAGGCACCAGAAGATGAATTAAAAAACAGCAACAAATAATCAGTAAGTGGGATTTCTAAGGACAGCAGACCTTTACTACTAGAGCATCTCCACTGAATATCCCACTGATTAGCTAAATAAGAAGCTACTAAAATATAAGATAATTGCCACCGAAGACCTTGCTGATGAAAGGAGCAGTTAAGCAGCATGACAGATTGCTTGCATGTAGCATGCTTTAAGGAAACACTCAGTAACAAAACAGGAAGAGAAAGACCAAGGAAGGGCACATACTTTGAAGTGTAATTTTATGAGTATGATCTAACTTATGATTCCATATCAAATGACAATTCACGTTTAAACATCTTGAGTGTTCACTTTGACACTACTTCATTTCTATCTAAGAGCCAATTATATTACTCTATAATTGATATCAAAAGCAGTTTGTGAAATACCTGCTAGTGTTCATTTTAAGCTATTATTGCCAGAAGTATTTAATAGACCGGGAAATATCCTTAACTCACAACATTCATGTTAACATATTGAAGCACAATAAAGTAAGTCAAGGACAAAGGAGACAAACTGAAATAATGGGCACTGATGAATGGTTAAAAAAATGATTATTCTAAATCAGGGGTCCCCAACATATGGTTCGTGGCCTAGTACCAGGCCATGGCATGTTGGCCACCAGGCCCGGGAATAGCTGGCAAGCCCCCCCCCCCACTCACAGTAGCACCACCACACGGGCACTAGTGGCCCCATTTGTGCATGCACGTGGGCTCCAGCGGCCCACTTGAGCATCTGCACGGGCGCTGGTGCACACACCGCGGGTGTGTGTGATCCGGTTGTGCATGTGTGCACACACTAGAGCTGCCATAATGCACACACCTATTTGTGTATGCACATGCGAGGCTGCATGCATGCAAATTTTCCTGCTGCTCCCTTTCCTTCGAGGCTGCCAAACCAGAAAGGTTATGGAGCTCTGTTCTAAACATTAGCCTTTGAAACAACTAAAAAGGAATGATGGACTACATGCATTAAACAGCCTGAGATTTTAGATTTCTATTATTTTGAAAATGCTACAGAATACTTCCTTAGTCTTCACAATAATTAAATTTCATATGAAAATACGGAACAAACCTAAAGTGTTGTTTCTCAAGGTTAAATTACTTAAATTGGGGTTTTGTTTTTTTTATGGCCACTTTTTATTATTTATCAACTAAACAGTAAGCACTTGTGCATTGCACTAAGTCTGCCACATGTTATTATGAAATGGGATGAACCCACATGAATAGAGTGAACTGGGAATTTCTGGCTACCATGAAAAGGGTTCTAAATCCTGAACCTATATCTCAACACTCCTGAGAAGAGCTAATATGGTGATGATGGCACCAATCCTTTATCTCCTCTTTGCCTTAGTCTTCTACAAAGGTCATGGCAATCTTTCTTTCTTCTTTCCATAGTTGACTAGTTGGGAAGCCATGTATTCAATGGTCCCTTTCCCCTGAATGGAGGCCACTGAGATTTTAAGAATATAAGACTTTATTTTGTATATCAAGATCAGAAACCATGAAAGGGATCCAAAGGCAAAATAACTGCTTCTGAAGAGACTGATTAAGTGAGTTGTTTCCTTAGCCCAGAATCTCTGAAAATGTCCAAAGGCTAAGAGATCACAGTCATAAAATAAAATAAAATGTACGTCATATCTATCAAAGCTTCATTAATGTCTAATTTGCCAATAATGCCCTGATCTGCAAGCCAGATTTCTGTGAGTTTGGACTTCTTTTCTTACTTAGTTTTCAGCCAATCTCAAAAGAGCAAAAGCAAATCCTTTTTTAAAAATAAAAAAAAATCCTGGAAAAGTCCTATTCCTGACTGACTCTTCAGCATTTGCTTTCATTGTATTTTGGGTATCTGTGCCCATGTCCCCGGTTGACAAGTTGGATTTTTCTTGGATACTGTCAGTATCTGAATCTCTTAGAATGTAATTTCATCCCATTCAATACATATTACTTCCAAATAAGGAAGATTTAAGAAAAATGCAATGTAAAGAGTAAAAAAAAGCCACTATCTGCAACAAAACAATTCAGAGTTTGATATGTACCAATTTTGTAAAAGATCGTTTCTGATATTGTGTTTTACATATTGTACTTATATGGTACAAGTTGATTGTCATTGGCTGTTGAAAACAAAGGCCCCCCAAAAGTAACGTACTGTATGCACCTTTCCCTTTGAAAAGCAAGGCAGTAAAATGTGACAAAAAATAGACAAATTTAAAGTTTATAAAAAAATGTTTCAGTGGCTCAGTTTATATATGCTACAAAGCTTCAATATCTTTTACTTAATTAAACAATTAATATACCACTTTTTATCATTATTTTAATTTTTTTATAAATTGCTTTGATACGAAAAAAATAAATCCTTACAGAACTTGTCAATAAAAGTGTAACTGGAAGTCAATATTTTTAATTATCTGGATTACAAAATGGAAAGCTATGCCCAGTATCTAAACTAAAAGAAATGTAGAGTTAGGAATAATTCCAGGACAATTACCAAATAAGTCCTCTTCCTTCAACAGAGGCATTGGGCAATGATACTGATTTTGTACACTTTTACCATAAGAAAGGGAGCATATTAAGAATATTTTATTAGTGCATATAAATCCTTAGGAAGACAGATGACTCAAGAAAATTGCAAGGGACAATGTAAATACCTACCTAATTTCAGAGCAGAGGATGTCACTTCAATCTCTCCACCAATAGGTTGAAATGCCGCTAGTTGGGCAGCTACATCAGTCTCAAAGGCATCTGGGCTGTTGCCTTCTGTTAAACTACCATTGGTGTCATCAGATTTGGGGAATGCATCTTGTTCGTCATACACAGCAATCAACTGTAAAATAAAGCAATATATTATAAAGCATTCAGAGTTAGAATAGGATTCCTCTAAGGAGGCATACTGCCATATTACTATTTCATTCATATCAATAGTGGGCTATAAGCTCATTGGAGTTTTCTATCTTCCCCTTCTTTTCTGTTACTCTTCCCCAAAACTCAGGAGATATTCTTAAACAACATTTATTAGCCCAATCCCTAGGGACATGTGATTTTATGTTATCTTACAATCAAGCAACTAGTAAAATCATTGAATACCACTCCACAAATGAAGGAAAGGGTCCCCATTCATCAAGATAGGAGCAAAATCAGATTAGGACAGGCAAATAGGATAAGAGATAAACAGTTAACAAAACCACACTGATCTGTTTTTACATAAAACAATATGCAATTCTCCCCAAGAAAGGAACTCCATAGGCATAGCATTACTACAGAGAAAACACTGCTCCCTAAAATCGCTCATAGGTGTTAGGGTCACAAGATACAACAGTGGATGCTGTTAGGATGCATGGGTCTCAAGACCAGCACCTTGAAATGTCTAAAACTAGGTAATCTGTGAAATGATGTCACAAGACACAGAGAAAGATACGTTAAGATTTCTAAAATAGAACACTAAAAGATGTACACATACTCCAAACACAAAAGACAGAGAGGGACAGAACACACCAACATATATGAAACAATATTAATTAAAAAATCAAATACTGAAAAATGTTCACACACAATTCAAGTTACAACATTTATTAAGAGTAAACAATTATTTTTTAATCATATATAATGAGATTGTATTAAAAAAACAAGGAACTGATCCAAATAATATTTCATATTTTTGCTACAAATCTAATTGAAACAATTGTTACAGGGGAAGAGTAACCTGTGACACAAATAATGCTAAAACACAACTCCTTAACACTTCTTCAAACTGGACATGTTGCCTGGAATTTAAAGTCCAGTAATCCTATTCTTCTGATATAAAAGAGAGAAATTGATTTTTTAATCACCTAAAGCAGGGGTGTCAAACTCAATTTCATTGAGGGCCGCAACAGCATTGCAGTTACCCTGAGGGGGGCCGGGTGGGTTTGGCCAGGGTGGGTGCGGCCTACTGGGTGCGCATGAATGGAGTGAGTGTGGCCTATAGAGTGGGCATGGCCAGCTCTACACTGGTCGCTTCAAGGGTGCCTGTGGGGGCCTGGGCGGGACAGATCTGAGGGTCTCTGGCAGAAGGGGGGGACCAGGGCAAGTGCCAAGGTATGGTCCACTGGAGGAGCCTCACTGTTCCTCTCAGGCCATGGGGGGAGCTTATGGAGCTAAGACTGAATGTGCTTCAGCATAGATGGCCACAAAATTGTACATTGGCTCCCGGCCAGCCTGGGCCAGGGCCAAGGCAGAGGGGGCCGTTCCCTCACTGTTTCCAGGATGGCTTCATGGGCCACATGAAACCACTTCGCGGGCTGCATCCGGCCCCCGGGCCTTGTGTTTGACATGTCTGACCTAAAGGTATATTAATAACATCAAGATATATTGTTCTATATGCAAACTAGGGAAGTTAGAGCTAAGAAATTCATACAGTCTACACTATTATTCATTTTTTTCTATAAGGCCTTCTCTTCTCTGTCAAGGGGTAGTACCCCAAATTAGCTTACAATTAATATAAGCAAAAAAGGAATTAAAACATAAATTCTAACTGCTATAGTCTGGATCTTTCTGCTGGTCAGTAACAAAAGTAATATAAATAATATTAATTCAATATATGATGGAATATAAAAATTCATTTATAAATGAAGTAATCATGAAGATTTTGCATGGAAGCTAGATTATTTTGAAATAATGAACCACACAGTGTCTTTAAAATACGAAGCAAATCACATTAATCTCTCATTATTAGGACAATCCAAAGATACTATGGAAGTATATTTACTGCAAAAATGAATGAAACCATTTACATGCCAGTATCCTAGCCTAAAGCCCTGATATGCTGGTGAAAGTATTGGGGTTTTTTAACATTTTCACCAGCTAAAGCTTTACTGATTTCCAACATGAGTTACAAACTTCAGGGTGTTTTCAATCAATTTAGAGAGAATGAAAAACCCTCTCTGAATTGTTTCCAAATGTATCTATTTGCCAATGCAAAGGCAGGTGCCAGTAAAACAAACCCCTCCATGATTCCACATCTGCTCCGGAGGATTAGGGGATCTCAGGAACAGACTGGAAAGTGCACCAGGGTTGCAAGCAGAACACAGCAAAGTATATTCACTCACAGAACATTATGGAAGCTAAGTGTGTTCCAAATAATTACTTTTCTGCATATGCAGAGTCAAACCAATGATGAACATGAAATTCTAAATGTAAGCTGCACCTGTGTGGGGAGGGGAGGGAGTACTTAATATAGAATAGATACTTAAGGGTTCCTTAGGCTTATAGGACCATATCATATCTTAAAAACAACCTTTCCCATATGGGCCCATTTTTCCCACCTTCCGTAATGTGGATTCTGTTAAGGAAACAGAAACTGTATCTTTCCAGTATTTTCTGCATGCCCAACCTGAGTGCCTAATGTTTTATTCCACCCGGTGTCATCATGAACTGCAAGATGAGCAGCATATAAATTTAATAGATAAATAAATAAACTTCAAATACCAAAAATGGGTTAATCTCAGAATTTACTATCAAAAACCCTGGTAAATTGTCTGATAGAAAAATGACAATTTGATTCCTATCTCCACATTTGGAGAGGAGGCTGACCAAGACAGGATATCTATGTGATCTTCTAACCTAATTAGCAGGCTTGTCCTCCTCGATTCCATTTCATTAAATTTATCAGGAGAGTAAGACCTGTGCAGACAAGATTTTTAATGCGGGAGAATGGCAAATAGATATGGGCTCAGATAACAAGAATTGTGGCAACAAAAGATGCTGGGTTACCATTAGTATGGAAGAGGAGGTGTCTCTATTCATCCTTTAGAAAAGATAAAAGCTACATACAAATGAAAGATCATAAAGGATAACACCCCAAAATACAACATTTTAACAACATGAACCAGACAACTAAACCCCTTTAAGTGGAAAGAGAAATATTAGAGTTTAAATATTTATATAATTGTAAATCAGGGCAATTAGTTTATACCAGCTGATTTCAAACATTTCCAAATGATTAGCTTTCAATTAGTTTGGAAAAGCAAAAAGAATCCTATTAATCTCTTTCTAAGTGTATGTGTACAAAACTACATGAGGTTACTGCTTTAAAAATGCACCTTTTTTTCTTAATCCCTAGAGCTGGAAATGAAGGAGGAAAAGTGGTTTCAACATATACAGCCAAAACCTGCATGCAATTAAATTCATCAAATCAAGTACTGCTATTTAAAAAATGTGTATTTTACTTATGAACATACTAAATAAATTAAGTGAGAGAGATTGGAGGGATAGGGGAGATATAACATATTTTCTAGAGTTTCCTTAAGAAAATACCAAAGAATTATGCTGTTATTACTATTAAATTACTTTTTAATTGTTCTGTAAATATTTTTTTTCTACTGTCCCTTTAAAAATAATGATTTTGTCCTAGATTCTGATGGTCCATAATATTATGTGCCAGAAGGCTTTTTTTTTCAAAGAAGTGTAATCAGTCAATAACTGCTTATATATTCTATATATGTAATAAAGTGCTAGAAACATGTTTTCCTCATGCTACTCCAGCTTAAAGTAAGTGAAGCAGCTAATAATCCAAAGAAGCTTTATCTTTGGTTTCACTATTTAAAATAGCCTTTATAAATCAAAGTCAGAATCCAAAAGGCAATATATACTAATTAAAAAGACTTGATAGCTTACCTTTATGTTTATAGACATTTTTAAAATATCTTTTTATATCTTTTTTTAGTGAAGCCAGGCAAAATCACATCAGATACCTGTACAATTAGCACAGCGGGCCCCCAGGGCTGTGTGCTCTCTCCACTTCTCTTCTCTCTATATATCAATGACTGCATCTCAAAAGATCCCTCTGTTAAAGTACTGAAGTTTGCAGATGATATAATAGTGATTGGCCTCATTCGAGATTACAACAAATCTGCATACAGACGAGAGGTTGAACAACTAGCCTTGTGTTGCAGCCAGAACAATCTTCAACTGAACACACTCAAAACTATAGAAATGACAGTAGGCTTTAGGAGAAACCCTACTATTCTATAACCTCTTACAATACTAGACAACACAGTATCAACAGTAGAGACCTTCAAGTTTCTAGGTTCTATAATATCTCAAGATTTCAAGTGGACACCTAATATCAAAAATGTCACCAAAAAAGCACAACAAAGAATGTTCTTCCTGTGCCAACTGAGAGAGCTCAGACTGCCCAGGGAGTTGCTGATACAGTTCTACAAAGCAATTATTGAGTCTGTCATTTGCACCTTTATAACTGTCTGATTTGGCACTGCAACCAAACAAGACAGACACAGGCTTCAGCTGGTAGTTAGAACTGCAGAAAAAACAATTGCTACCAGCCTGCCTTCAATTGAGGACCTGTATACCGCAAGAGCCAGAAAGAGGGCTATGAAAATATCTACACAACCTGGAAATAAATTATTTCAACTTCTTCCCTCAAGACAACGGCTATAGGGCATTGCACACCAAAACAACTAGAGGTAAGGATAGTTTTTCCCCCAATGCTGTCACTCAGCTTAACAACACTGTCAAAATACCTAGTAAAGCTGTATTACTATTATTCTCATCTTTCCTATTATGTATTCTTATCTTCTTATGACTATAACTTTGCTCTTTGTATCTTACAATTTATATTTTTGTACCCTAGTATGATTTATATTGTTTGCTTAGCTCAGGGGTAGGCAACCCAAAACACTCAAAGAGCCACTTGGACCCGTTTCCCACCAAAAACAAAACACCAGGAGCCGCAAAACCCTTTTGATATCTAAAATGAAGATAACACTGCATATATCCTTTTTTACCTTTATTATAGGTGTGTGTGTGCTTGTGTGTGTGTGTATATAT